GTGTTAGCAGAGAACATGTCACAAAGTTGCAAACCAAAGCGGAATTACCTCCGGTTCTTCGCTGCTTGGAGGGAGTATTTTCTTCCGTGGAATCTGCAGGAGTAGCAATCTTCCTTTTGACTTGAGCTTTGGGCGCTCTCCTTGGTAGATCTGGCTGGCTGGTCTGGGCGACCATGGCAGATTCTAGGTCTTCACTTTCCTTTACAACTTTCTTCTCTTCAAATTTTTTGGTGAGTGGTAAAGGAGCCAGAACAGAAATATTGTCCATAACACCGAGGAACCGAGGATGGAAGTAGTCTCGCCACCAATTTTTATAGGAAAAAGTGCAGCTCGGTTGAAATGGAGGGTCTGGCAAGATCATTGTCTACAGAGTGTTTGTGATGTTAGCAAGTTTGGTAATCAAAATCTTTGAATCCCTAATCATAAATCGAAGAGGATAGTTGTGGTTGAAGGAGAATAGTGGCGGGAATGGTATGTCTTGGCAATATCCTAGCTGTCGACAGAATTGGTTCGGTGCATAGAGCTCCATGCCGCATCTAGAGTTGAGAGTGTTCAAACTACAGCCAACAAACAGATCCCAGGAAGTCACACAAACAGACCAAAATGCTCGAAAATCTGGGGATTTGACATCGGTCCTGTACCATGAAGGACCGTGAGATCTGCCTAGAAACACAACAAAGTCTACATTAGGTCTGTCGATAGGAAGAGAAGCAAAAACTTGAGGCACTCTTCAAAGCTTCTCTTGTTCTCCACGGCATTTTTAAACATGAAGCCATAAGTGAGCAAATCCCGGGCTGGAATAGCAGATGAGACAGGAGCGAGTGCCGGAAAATAAGAATACAGCCACAACTGTAAATTCCAAAGCAGCCCACCACTAATGACTAAGGGGCGATCTGTGATATCTTGGCAACTCCTGTACAAATGAGCAAGCAAAAAAAGATCCATAGCCATTTGTCTACCATACGCTAAAGCAGCAGCTAAAGGAATAAACTCTTTAGTGGGACCTTTACTAGCAGAGCAAACTATATATTTGCAAATCAAAGTAAGTAGAAATTAAATATGCTCATCAGCACTGACAGGCTTACTTTTATCATAGGCAGACCTCACAAAGGCTGGATAAGAGGACTTCAACTCTGCATTGTACTCAACACCTGGAGCCAAGGTCAATAGTGCTGAAATTTCTTCTCTAGTGCAGGGCAATCCAGTTAACGAATTGACATCAAAAAGGCTCACAGACATGGCTCCACAGGGAAAATGAAAACAATTGAAAGAGCCGGACCAAAATAACAAAACCGAACCCAAGACCGGCTTATCCATAGTGAATCTGCATTTGGTGAGTTGTATAAATTCAAATAAACCCACATCTTTCCAAATTTGGCCAAAATCAGGTTCCAGACGATTAATCCAGTCCACCCATTCTGATTTCCTCCAAACTAGCCAAGCTCCAAAAGAGCCAATCCATTTATTCTAGTCAGGTTTTACCTGAAAAGGGAGAAGATGTTCTTTGGGCTGTGGGTAAATGGAGGTAAGAGAGGTCGGCGGATGAGACAAAAAATAAGGACCCAAAATCTGAGATTTTTTATGAGGTACGAAATTTTGATTTGAATGGCATGGTTTTTGTTGCTGGAGTACCCAGTTCACATCATCTTGAAGATTTTGGTTTTGAAAGAGTATAACCAAATCTGGTGGGGGTGATTTTAAGCAATGAGTGGCCTTTGAACCGGCCATGGAAGCAGATCTGGTTGGCATGGATTGTTCTTCTCAGTCACGAGCCATGGAAATAATTTTGGCAAGGGAAGGTTGTTCGGTACTGGGCCACCGGACACAAGCCAGGCAGATCTGCACATAAAAAAAAAAAAAGAGAAAGGAGTTAGCCGGTAGTCACACGGACAAGGAAGATGACCGGTAGGGTCCACCGGACATAAGCAAAGCAAATTTTTGTAAATAAAGAGCAAAAGGGAGTCAACCGGCAGCTACCTATGGAGGAAGGAAGATTTTCGGTAGGGACCACTGAGTATGGGAGCAGATTTGGACAAGCAAAGGAAGAGAGTGCAGCCGGCAGTAGATCTTGAAAGTTGAAGGAAGTGGGTTGCTGTTTTGGGTGGATCTGGGGAAGCATAAAAAATAAAATGAAGAAAAGGGGCCGGTAATGACTGGGAGAAGCTTAAATGTTAAAAGATGGGTTGAAATAGAAGAAGATGTTTGGTGAATAAAAGAAAAAGGAGCAGCAGCCGGCTGTAAAAGCAAAAGAAGAAAATGAAAGAGAAAAGTCGGTGGTGATGGTGGCCCGTGAAGATGAAGAAGGTAAAGTAAAGTTAATTCTTTAATTTTCAAAAAGTCCTTGATTTTTGGGATTTGTTTTTGAAAATTAAGGGATTTTATGAAGAATGGAGAAAGTCAAAAGATGGGGCCAACGGTGAAATAAAAAAAAAAAAGAGTGAAAGAAAAAGAAATACAAACAGCCGGCTAAGACCCAAAAAAAAAAGGTTAAGTTAAGTTTGACTTTTCTTTACTTTTTGGGTCTTGAAAATTAAATGAATTTTAAAAGGAGTGGCTGGGGTTTATGTAGAAAATTGCTCCAGGAGATATTTGTGAAGTTGCTTTTAAAGAGAATTTGACATATGGCATAAGTAATTATGGTGTGGGAGATAATTTATTTAATTAAAACATTTGGATTTATCTTTATAAAACTAAGTGTTGGGGGCATTGTTTACACCATAAATTGCAAAATTTTAAATTAATGCCACGTGTAAAATATTTTTTTATTGGTTGAAGGAGTTTGAACCATGTCAGATTCGGATTTTGGGCTCCAGGACAGATCAGCACTTGTGTTGGCAAAATAGGAGAGGTAAAGATAAGTTTTTATGGAGTAATTATCTTCTTGATACAGAAAGGGATAATGAGAGCTGAAAAATAGGAGAAGATCACAGTTAAAAAGGGGGTTTTATTTGATAAGAGTACATGTGGCAAAATCTGAAAGGGGATTAGACTAGGTCAAAAGATGAGGTGTCCAACTACTTCAAAAAACCACCTATGATTGAGTAACTGTAGAAGTGGAAGTTGCTGCCGGCACAAGAAGAACAAAAAGGAAATTTTGGAAAGGAGAACGACGGCCAGCCTTACTCAAACAACTGCAAATTTTCATACTTTGATTTTCTTTGCAATCTGTTTCCAGATTTCGAATTTCAGCACAGATTCCAGTAGAATTAGGTTTTTTTTCATCATTTCTATAGACAATTTAATTTATGTACTTGCTACATCAGTTTCACTTCATGCAATAAATTTCAACATTTCAAGTTTCTTCTAGGTACTGTTCATTTTCGGTCTATAATTAATTTATTGTTTCTTTTAAGTAGCATTGCTTCAATGATTACTTATGTGGCTTTTATGCTTCTTTCCAATTTCAAGTTCTTCAATTTATTCACTGTTCACGTTTAATCTTAGTGCTAATTTAGGATGAAGTTTCCAATTCTACAACAATTTAATTTTCGAATCTGTCATGAGATTGCATTTTTAATTTTACCATAAGCATGTTTAATTTAATTTGGGAATATTTCTTTCTCGCAAGTTTATTTTAAATTGTAGGTAATTTAGAATAATTATGATTTGTTAATTTTAAGTCATGGTAGTGTTTAAGTCCTTAGAGTTGTCCAAGGCAGATTTCATAACCCAACCTGCAGGAAGGTATCCCTCTCTTTTGCAAATCGTCTGAAGGCGCATTTTCGATTTTAATCCAATGTTCTTCCCGCCATCTGCAAAGAGGTCGACCGTGAGGAAGGAAAGGGTCGTTGGGAAAGTCCTCATTTCTTACTTTCAGTAAAGTAAGTGGCACGTCCGCATTCAGATTTCATATGTGCGTGGTCACTAGAGGATTTTTGAGGAAACAATCCTTTTTTTTTTTGGCACCCCCAGTGGGACATGACAGATTTATCACAATTCTGTTAGAAGCTTCAGCTTCACCGTTGGCTTGAGCATAATGAGGGGTTGAAGTGAGTAACCTAAATCCCATTTCTTTTGCAAATGCTTCAACTTGTGCACCAACAAAAACTGTCCCTTGATCTGAAGTCACTGTTTCTGCCAAACCGAATCTGTGAATGATTTCTTGCTTAAGAAATTTAATAATATCGGTCTGATCAACCTTCTTCATTGGCTTTGCTTCCACCCACTTGGTAAAGTAATCTGTGGCAACAATATTAAAAGAATGCCCTCTAGTTGAAGGAGGATAAACTTTATCGATCAAATCTATGGCTCACCCTCGAAATGGCCATGGTTTGACGATTGGATGGAGTTCTGACGTTGGAACTCTCTGCAGTGGTCCATGAATCTGGCAGGCTTTGCAACCTTTAGCATAGCTGATGCAATCTTTCAAGATTGATGGGCAAAAGAATCCATGTCTACGAATTAGCCATCTCATCTTAATTCCAGCTTGGTGTGCACCACATATTCCGTTATGCACATCTGACATAATCTGGCAGTACTCATCTGGACCAAGATAGCGTAGAAGTAATTCATCATGTCCTCTTCTATAAAGAACATCTTCCAGCAAAACATAATTCAAGGCCTGCATTTTTGTTCTTCTTGAGGCCTTAAAATTTGGATTTTTGAGGTATTCCATGATCGGATAGCGCCAATCTGTCTGGGTTACGTCTATGGAACAAGCAGAAATTGCCATACCACGCATGTGAATAGATGGCAGAATTCGTTTTTCCACAACAACAATTCTGCTCATCACGCCTTCTGGGATTTTTAAGTCTGAGGCGATTTGTGCCATCTCATTTGCTTCTGTGTTCAGATCTCGAGTAACATGTCTCAAGATTACATCATCAAATTCCTTCAAAAGCTGCACTACCAAAGCAAAATAAGGTGCCAAAGACAAACTAGTGCACTTGTACTCACCTTCTAATTGCTTCAAAATTAATTGTGAGTCACCAATTATTTCTACCATAGGTACCTTGAGCTCTACCAACACTTCCAACCCAATAATTAGCGCCTCCTATTCAGCTTGGTTGTTGGTGCAAATGAAATCTAGCTGAAATGACATCTAGGTTTTCAAACCAACTGGAGAAATAATAATAATTCCTGCCCCAGACATGGAATCTGTGCTAGATCCATCAAAGATAAGCTTCCAAGGAACTAGGCTTATGGAAAATAAATTAATACCTTTTTCCTCATCCGCTTCTACCTCCAAGCACGGATGATCTGCTAGGAAATCTGCCAAAGCTTGCTCATTGACAGCTTTTTAAGGCCTGTACTTCAGGTTGAATTCTGACAAAGTCAGAACCCATTTCCCAATTCTGCCTCGCAACAGTGGTCGAGACAACATGTACTTTATCACATCAGTTTTTGAAATAACATAAACCTCGGAATAAAGCAAATAGTGCCTCAATTTTATTGCAGCAAAAAACAAAGCAAGACTTAATTTTTCGCTCAAAGAATATTTCACTTCGGTCTGTGACAGACTTCGACTCAAATAATAAACAGCTTGTTCTTGCTTTTTATTATTTTCTTGAGCCGGCAAACAACCTACAGATTCATCTGCGGCAGATAAGTACAAAATCCATACGTACCAATAGCTCCTAGGCAGCGGAAAGCGGTCTTTGGAATGTCCTCTTCTGCTATAAAAATCTGGTTGTATCCACTGTGGCCATCCATGAATGACAGAATTCGGTGGCGTGCTGCACCATCCACCAATAAATCTGCAATAGGCATAGGATATTCATCTTTTGGTGTTGCCAGATTCAGATTTCTAAAGTCTACACAGATTCTCAGCTTGCCATTCTATTTAACCATAGGAACCACATTAGATAACCATTCCACATATCTTGAAGTTCTGATGAAACCAACCTTCAACAGCCGCTCTATCTCTTTTTTAACTTTTAAGGTGACTTCTGGAGACATTCGTTTAGGCGGTTGTTTAAAAGGCTTTAAATCTTCTCTGATTGGTAATCTGTACTGCACCAGATTTCTGTCTAGACCTGGCATTTCAGAATAGTCCCAAGCAAAACAGTCCTTGTATTCACGCAAAATACTGATAATTTTATCATGCAAACACGACTCAAGAGAACCGCTAATAAAAGTAATTTTCGGATCTGCCTCAATACCCAGATTTACCTTCTCCATCTTGTACTTCTGCCTTCAGATCATCAAGTTTTGCTGGTGCCAGATCTAATTCCTCTAGTGTTATTTGATCCTTAAAGTCTTCCTCTTCACCTTCATAGACTACTTCAGATCTGTTTTTCAGCAAGGTAAGTCGCTAATTTTCTCTTGATTTCTTCCACGGCCTGCTTTTTTTGGTGCTTAATTCGATCTTTCTTCATGGAATTTCTTCGATTTTAGGCTCCTCCCTTGGCCTAAAAGGAACAATCGCTGTAGGCCGAAATAGTTCATCACACACCTCCTTCACAGTTTGTCTGTCCATTGCAGATCTGGTGCAAGCAGTAATTCCAGAAGGTCTGCCATAGCGGTCCATCCCAAAGAAACGGATAGTGCCAATATCTTCATCATAATAACGGGCTTCCACTACATTGGTATTTGCCACAAACGGCTTGTCATCTGTTGTCATGACTTCAGTTCTGCCAGCATTCCAGAATATCAATTTTTGATGCAAAGTTGAAGGAACATACCAGCTGGAATGTATCCAATCTCTCCTAAGCAATGCATTATAAGTGGCAATGGTGTCAACCACGAAGAATGCACACATGAGAGTTCTATTTCCAACGGTAAGTTCCACTGGCAGAATTCCCCTTGAGCAATTTACTCCACCAGTAAAGTCACTGATTGTCACTTCTGTCTCCATTAAATCACCCAAAGATTTGCCAATTTTTTGCAGAATACAAGTTGGAAAAACATTGACAGCTGCTCCATTATCAACCGGAACTTGATTTATCGGCATACCATCTAGATGTGCATGAATGTATAATGGCCTGATGTGCTTGGCCATCCTCTCTTCTGGTTTTTCAAAAATGATTTTATCTGCTGAATCCATGCCACCATCTTCCTTAGCTGGAATCTTAATGACTTCTTCTTCCTCAGTCAAATCTGTCTGGTGACAGACTGCATATTCTGGCTGCTCTCTTGCTTGAAAGACCAAAGGAAGAGTGATCACCAAGCAAGATAGATTCACAGAAAACTCACCAAAACATATTACATCTGATGAATTTTTCGCTTTATCTGACACGTCAAACTTCGCCTTCAAACCAATTTCTTCATTGGATTCCACAGCCAGAACTTGAGGTGATGTTGGAATTTTGGGTGGTTCTTCCTTTTCTGGAGAATTTTGACCAAATGTGCTCCCTTTTTCTTTACGGACCCACACTAATTTTCTTCTTATTGGGAGTGGCTGTGCCTGATCTGCCATGCCCCCCGAGTCTGCAATCTGCTGTCGGTGTCTTTCTGCTGCCCTTTTGCGTTGTAAACGCCTCCTCAAGGTCCTTGGGTTTTGACCCTTAGGAAATTTTGGATGCACCACACGTTCCCACCGTTTGGTTGGAGTTCTGGGTCGTGGTTTTACCATTTTGGGCTTTTCTGCGCGTCCATATATCGCAGTTCCTTGACTTGCATTATTTTTCTGTTGAGTTGGGTTATGCCCCCCGGGCTGTCTCCTTCGATATGAACCTGATCTAACCTGATTTTTGCGGGCCCTGGCCTCCTCAATGACCCACCTCAGATCATCAGCTACAAGTCTGCGCCTATAATATGTTTGAGTTCTGTCCCTGACAATGCTCTTGAGATCTGCCGCGTTCACCTCAACAGACATGGTAGGGAATGGATCTGCATCAACTCCCATAGTTTCTTTGGCCTTATCTAGAAAATGCAGAATTCCCTTGTCGATTTTATCCTGTAAAACATTCCGAAAAATCACACAATCATTAGTGGAATGTTTCCAAGAATTGTGATATTTGCAATATTCTCTATTTCCAATTTCGCCAGCCATTGGGATTTTATGTCCCGGTGGCAACTTAATTAGACCACTCTTTTTAAGGTGGTCAAAAAATTTCATTAGTTTTTGAAATGTCGAAGGTGTATTGTTTTCCAGCCTCTCCGACATAACGTTTGACTGTTTTGTCGGTCTGCTGGGCGACTTTAACCAAATCTGGGCAACAACTGGTTTGTTTGCCACGACTTCTGCCACGTCCAGATCAAAGTTAGCATCACCGTAATAAGTCCCATGAGATGCAGATTTCCTTTGTGTGTCTTTTCACAATGAATTTTCATAACGAGCCACCTTGTAAGACAACTCAAAGAAATCATGAAACTCCATTCCCTCAAACTTTTTCCTTAACTCAATATCCAGACCATTTTGTGCCAGCTTGAAAAATTCTTGTTATGGCAGGGCAACTCTGCACTTAAGTCTGCCCTTCCGAAATCTAGCAAGAAAGGCCTCAGATGTTTCTCCAGGTCGCTGCACCAGACGAGATAAATCTGCCATGGACACTTTTGGCTCACTGCGGTAGAACTGGATGTGAAAAAGATCTTCCATCTGCCTCCAAGTATAAACTGAATTCTGTGGCAGACTCAGATACTAGGTGAGAGCTGTACTAGTTAAAGAACTAGGAAAAAGTCTGAGCTTCAGATTATCATCACCGGAGGCCTCACCACACTGAATTGTGAAGCGGCTTATATGTTTAATTGTAGAATATCCACCATCTCCAGAAAATAGAGTGAATTCTGGAACTTTAAACCCCCTTGGAAAAGGATTTTCTTGGTCTATAAAATCTGGATATGGTTTTCTGTAAGCTAGTCTGACTAGAGGCCTCAAAATTGGACCATAAGCCTCCTGCACCATGTCGATGATTTGATCACGATTGATGTACTGTCTTGGCAGATTTTGAAGATTTTACTACACAGGTGGCATATAAGGCTGGAAATGTTCCCTTGGTGAAGGTGCATTATGTTGTTGATGTCCTCCATTTGGTCGGCGCAGAGGTGGCAGATATCTGGGTTGCTAGTGATTGCCCAGTTCTGCTGCACGTGGTGCTGCCTCAACAGGATCTGGCTGCACTGGTCCGCCTGCTACTTGCTGAATCTGGGGAGGTGGCTGTGGTAGATTAACTTGCCCCCCGAGTGCTGGAGCTGGAATATTCTGATTCTACCTTTGAAGATTTGCTACTTGTGGCTGAGGTTCAATTCCGGCACATCGAAATGCTTCTTGCATTCGTTCCATTTCAGCTTGGAAAGCTCTCCAATTTTTTGCATTTTGCTTGCGCCAGATTCTGTTACTTTCTTCATTGGATCGCCGCATGTCGGCTACATTTTGGGCTACACTTTGAGCCAAATTATGAGCCAGATTCTGAAATGATTCATCCAATTGTCTAGCAACCTCTTGGCTTCTTTGTTGAGCTTTCTCCTCAGATTCCAACAGTGTGTGCCTCATGATGCTAATCTAATCTGACACAGCTTTCACAAGGGAATCACCAGATTGAGCAACATCATCTCCAAATTCACTATCCTTGTTGAAAGTAGGATTGAAAAAAGAATGCTCCCCAAGTATTGGTGACAACGGTGGTGGAATGACTGGCTCATTCTCCCCTTCTGAGTGTGTTGGACTGCCATTACCAAGCCCAATTTGTAAAGTCTGGGCAGCCTTCCCAACGTTTCTTTTTGGTGGCATAATTGCACTTTTTCTTGGAAAAAAAAACAACGGATCTGAAAACTGTGAGTAAGACACGGTGATGTCCCACCGGGCATGCCAAAAAAAGGATTGTTTCCTCAAAAATCCTCTAGTGGCCACGCACGTGTGAAATCTGGATGCGGGCGTGCCACTTACTTTGCTGAAAGTAAGAAAGGAGGACTTTCCCAACGACCCTCTCCTCTCCTTCCTCACGGTCGGCCTCTTTGCAGATGGCGAGAAGAACGTTGGATTAAAATCAAAAATGCGCCTTCAAACAATTTGCAAGAGGAAGGGATACCTTCCTGCAGGTTGGGTTACGAAATCTGCCTTGGATAACTCCAAGGACTTAAACACTACCATGACTTAAAATTAACAAATTTTAATTATTCTAAATTACCTGCAATTTAAAATAAACTTACGAGAAAGAAATATTCCCAAATTAAATTAAACATGCTTATGGTAAAATTAAAAATGCAATCTCATGACAGATTCGGAAATTAAATTGCTGCAGAATTGGAAACTTCATCTTAAATTAGCACTAAGATTAAACGTGAACAGTGAATAAATTGAAGAACTTGAAATTGGAAAGAAGCATAAAAGCCACATAAGTAATCATTGAAGCAATGCTACTTAAAAGAAACAATAAATTAATTATAGACAGGAAATGAACAGTACCTGGAAGAAACTTGAAATGTTGAAATTCATTGCATGAAGTGAAACTGATGTAGCAAGTACATAAATTAAATTGTCTATAGAAATGATGAAAAACAACCTAATTTTGCTGGAATCTGTGCTGAAATTCGAAATCTGGAAGCAGATTGCAGAGAAAATCAAAGTATGAAAATTTGCAGTTGTTTGAGTAGGGCTGGCCGTCGTTTTCCTTTCCAAAATTTCCTTTTTGTTCTTCTTGTGCCGACAGTAACTTCCACTTTCTGCAGTTACTCAATCATTGGTGGTTTTTTGAAGTAGTGGGACACCTCATCTTTTGACCTAGTCTAATCCCCTTTCAGATTTCGCCACCTGTACTCTTATCAGATAAAACTCCCTTTTTAACTGTGATCTTCTCCTATTTTCTAGCTCCCATTATCCCTTTCTGTATCAAAAAGATAATTACTCCATACAAAATTATCTTTACCTCTCCTATTTTGCCAACACAAGTGCTGATTTGTCCTGGGGTCTAGAATCCGAATCTGACATGGTTCAAACTCCTCCAACCAATAAAAAAATATTTTACACGTGGCATTAATTTAAAATTTTGCAATTTATGGTGTAAACATAAATAAACTGAATGCCTAGATATTGTGCAGAGACAAAAGAACAAAGATAGAAAACATTCAACATATTTACATGAACGAATAACATAACTAAATTCATAAAAAAAAAAGAAGAAAAACTAACCAAATCAAAATGGCAGACCTGTTTTGAAGGCTAAGTTGCTTCCAAATGCTTAAAAATCAATCTAAATTGGAATTTACGGAAGAAAATATGAACAAAGATGAACAAACCTAGGCTAAGGCTATGAACAAGAGTAGATCTTGCAAACTAATCTGGAAAATCTGAAAACTATTGTTGAAATTTGGAAAATTGCAGTCTGAAAGCTGAAAAACATGCTCTGGGTAGTGTATGTGTGTTGGGCAGGCCTCTTGAACTGTTCTCTTCTCCCTGTTTTTGTTCTCTTCGGTGTTGGGGACTTTCTCCATGATTTTCGGTATTGTTCCTCCATGATCTGGTAGTGGGGTTGCAGGTCTAGCAGTTACTTGACAGTTATCCAATAATTTTTATTTAACCTTATCTCCAATAACTTTAAAGATAATTACTTAAAAACCCTCAATTTCCCATTTTAAATCGAACTCAAGCTACCAGATCCGATCTTATCTTTTACCACCTAAGATCCAACCTCCTTGAAAATCCATTTGGGTCATTAAATTGTAAGCCAACCCAGCCCAAATCCAGTCTATTGATTTTTTTGATAATTGAGTTTTACCTTGACAAGTGGCTTTACTCTATTGGTTTATTTTAGGTGTAAACACTATCATTTCCCCTTCTTGCCTTTCTTACCCATCTGCTTCGCTTTCTTCCCTTCCTTGGCAGCAGTCTTGATCTGCTTAGCGTTCTTGTTCTTGCCTTCCTTGCCTTCCTTGCCTTTGCCTTTGCCTCATTCACTGGTGGTTGGACCTTGCCCCTGTTGTGGGCATCTTGGTGTTCACCTGACTCTTCAAGATTCTTGGATTCCTTGCCGCATCTCCAGCAATATATGACGGTAGATTTGAGATCCTCGCGGTTGCCGTTGAACGGATTCATGGTTGAACCTAGGGTTTTCTGTGCAGGAGTGAAGTTGTAAGAGTGTTTGGCGAAATGGGTTTTTATGAAATGTTTGGGTTTTTTTGTTTCTCCTTTTCACGTCGTCCTTTATGTTCATTTTAAAGGATTTACAATTGTAAAAAGATGTAACAATACCTTTAGCCTCAAATAAAAAAATATATACCCTTAATTCGTGGCTCTTTTAAATAATTG